CACCATCCACTTTAAGTGAAAGATGTTGAAATTTCTATTTTAAATGTTAAATATTTCCAAACATCCAAGCTTTCCAAAATCCCAAATTCTTCAACTATTTCCAAACCAAATTCTCAAATTTCCAAATCCAATTTTTACCAATATTCTAAACCATTGCTGCTACTATATGCCAGATAACACGTATTTTATACGTATCTGATTGATGACTAGCCTTAATCGAAAGTTCTCTCTCGTGATCGGGAGGGGTAATTAACTATAGGGGCTTGCGCCTATAGGAAACCAGAACTCAGATCATAAAGTCCTTGCAAAATGAGGGAGAAATCTCTGGGTAGTGTCTTATCTACAAACCCATCTGCCTTCCAAAATTTACCTCGGAACTTAGTTCGTTAAAACTCCCTCGCCGAATAAGAAAAGCGAGTGAAGGCCGGGGCCGAATTTTCGGAGCCCACATCGGGACCGGTTTGACGATTTTCCAATAAAACCAGCAGTTCAAACCGATTCGAGCCAATTTGATGCAAACACAATTTTTTTTGAATTTGTTAGAACCGATAACTTAGTCAGTTCACTATCGAACCAGTTGAACCTAACAGTCCGATCCTATTTTCAAAACGTTGATTTTTATAAACATGAGTGAAGAACCCTTCAGATTTGATTTCAAAGTTATACACAAGAAAATATGTTTTGTAGTAAGTTATTCCAACTGCTGTGTTGTACAAAACTATGTATAGCTCTATAAACTAAATTCAAACTTTGAGGCTTGTGCACGTGTTTTTTTCAGGACAACTTAATATAATTTTTACATTATGCATGTGTGTACAATTTTTTAACGTCAATTTTATCACTTTTATTGAGCTTTCCACAATGTATTAGATCTAGTAAATTAATTTCAAAGTTCTAAACCATAAAGGATGGAAGTATCTATATCCGTCGAAGGCTCATCATCAATCGCATACTTTAAAATTACCCTTTATGACTCAGTAGAATCAAATGTTTGTCAATAGATCAGAAGATTAATTTGGTTCATTGCTTAATGGTACAACCATCTGGCAACACTTGAAGCAAGTGATCATCAAAGTGAACTAATCTGCCAAATCAATTCTCTCAATGATGCGCAAAGCGAAGTTTAGAAACCAAGCCCAGGCCATTCAATCATGTAGGGACAATGTTCATCCAAATTGGAATCTAGAGTTTCTTGCCAGAATGGAAGTGATTAACAATCTACCAGAACTAAACTATATTAATAAAGTACATGATGAAAACATTCAATATTTCTCTAATGGAAAAGCCTTTTAGTAAGCAACCCCAACACTATCAAGATTGAATAAAAAAAGTACTTCTAACCATATGTCAAAATAAGTCTATTGACAAACCTAATAGCCAACTATTAATTATCCGTGAAAATCAAACACCAACAGATTTAAAGTGATCAACATTTAAGTAAGAACTATGCTTATAATTCATAAGAGACTCAACAAGACCCATGCATTTGCAATGTTTGGTTATTACGAAGTGATGCAAACATGTATGGCACTTATCGTGGACACGATTTGTACAAGGTATTGGATTGAGCTCATGCAATCGAGGAAGGAGGAAATGCATCAGATCTTGATGTCAAAGCTTTCATGGGAGTATTGGGTTATTGGTTTCAAGAGATTGTGGATTTGCTTTCCTGACTTGAAATCGTTGATTTTTTGTGGTTTGCCCTCTCTTTGGATTTCAGAAGTTCCACTCTTTGACTGCTCCTCTAAAATTTGCTCTAGTTGGATTTGTTTTCCCTCACAACGGCCTAGTCCTGGCTCCATTAAGAGGGTTTTTTTTTCAACCTTAAGTTGAATGGTGAGTTTTCGGTTACACTATTGGATTTGTCCCATGTATTGATTAAATTGGTGAATGATCTTGATTATAGTAGGGTTTTCTATCACATATCTTATTTTGTTAGTAATTATCGCATGAAACTTACAAAAAAGTCCCCTTTTGTCGACATTGGTGTGGAGTCATACGTTATCCCGATTTGGATCTCTTTCCCAAACTTGAGGCCTCACCTCTTTTCCCCATGTATTCTCCACAGTTTGGGATCCCTATTTGACAACCCGTTAAAAGTAAAAAATGCTACTTCCACTGGTTCACATCCGTATGTAGCGCTCGTGCTGGTAGAAATTGACATCACTAAAAACTATCTTGATAGAGTGTGGATTGGTCCAGAAGAGTTTAGTTATATTCAGCCTGTTGAGATGGAAGTATTTCCTCTAATTTTGTGTACATTGTAAATGCATTGGTCATTTGAGTAGTGATTGTCATCTCTTGGCCTCTAGCTCGGAGGTTGCTTCTAATAATGCTACTACCATTACTAATTATGATGGGAATGTCAATGTTGCTAAGGATATTATTTCTAATGTTGATAACCCTTCCTTAACTCTTGCTTTGAATGTTAATTATTTGGTGGAGAATGTTGTGAATGTTGAGACTGATCTTCCTATTGAGATATTTAAAGGGGGTCTTGGTGTTGCTTCAGTTTTAGATGGTATACCTATGAAAGCTCCTTCTAGAATTAATGAGGATGTTGTTGAGGAACATGAGCCAAATCATTGCTTAGTAAATTTGGTAGCTAGTCTTGTTGTTTATCCTGGTTCTAATGTGGATGTCAGTGATAATGAACCTATGATTTCTGATGATCCTGTTGACCACTATCGAGTTTAACCTATGGGTGGGATTTCTTCTATTGAGAGTGGTGAGATGGCTAATACTTTGGTTAAGCATGCTCGATTAAGTCCTTTGTTGCCTGATGGTGGTGATTATGTGGTTGAGGATGTTGATGACCCTCTAGTTGATGTGCCTATTTTTGTTATTTCAAGTGATGATTTGTTAGCTCAATTTGCTTGTAAATCAAAAGATAAGGAGGTGTTGCATGGTGATTGCTTTGATGATGGCATTTCTTCAACTGGTGGGAAGAAAATAAATGAGAAAGAGTTGGAGTCTCGGGATGATTTTAAATTCAAATTGTTAACATTAGTTTCTTTAAAAATAGTGGTAAGCATGCATGGACATCGGAAATCCAAAAAGAAATGATAGCTTTCTTTCTACTATTGGAGTTTTCTTGGTTGGAGTTGATCTCTTTCATTGATTAGTCTAGGTGTTGCTCCTGGTTTTATTGGATGGACCGTTTTGGTGAGTTTTTTATTTGGCCTTCACGGATTGAGGTCAATTTATTCAATGTGGTGTTTCAATTATAAAAGTGAGGGTTTAATGTACTTTATCAGAGCAATGACTCATAACGGAAATTTTGCAAGCGATACCTCTTCATTGATGTAAACTGTGCCCAAAAAGAGTAAAGTTCATGCATACTGATGTTGATATCAGTGAATTGCAACCAAAAAGTACATCATGTTCGTGATGTGCATAAAGTTAAAGAAGCCATCAGCAATATCAATGTAGAGGTACAAGAACAGAATATGGGTAAATCTTGATGATTGGCAGAAATGACAACCACATCAAACAATGCACAAAGTTAAATTATTTCAAAAACAAAAACATAAATACAGAGATCATGAAGATTGGTAAGGAGGTGCCATTGGTATAAGAGGATGCCAGTTGATGAAGGGCATATAAACTTTTAGTCACAACAAATAACTATTTAAAAATAGGTTTACATTCATAATAGAGATTTCAAGTAGATTAACCATATTCTTATAATGTAGGTGCTAACAAAACTACTATTGTTGTCTATTATTATACCTTACAACAATTGAGTAACTACTATCAAGTATTTTAGTTTAACTTACTCCAAGAGTTCAGAGCAACCAGTGTAAGTTGTAAGATAAAAGATCAATAAATTTAAGGTACAATGTAAAATTTTCTTTTGCTCCACGGAAAACTCTTTCTAAATACTACAGATTGACAATAAAAAGGAGGAATTTGTAGGTAGAAACAATTGAACAGTCTTTTGATTCATCAAATGCAACTAACCCTGTAGATGAGATGTAAGTTCTGAAATATCACTAACCCAGTCAACAAAGAATTGCAGAGAAAACAGCTGAGAATGGATAACTGTAAAAAGACTATAGGCGACCACCTTTAGAAGCAAATGAATAAAAATTATTAGCAAATATTCTACAATAGGACAGAATCAACAAAAAAAATTAACCCTTACTCAAGGAACCACCTTCTAACTATCACTAGATCGTATAGCAGTCTATTCAAGAACAAAGAGCAAGAAGAAGATCTATCAGAGAAAGTAGCAGAGGCATTACGAGAATTTGCAAGCTGAAGGAAAATGAATTTACGAATAGAGGGAATTCGAATTGATGATTAATTATTTTTATCTTTGATGTTCATAACTTCTCTTTTTTCTTCTTTTTTTTTTCTTTTTGCTTTTGGCTGTTTGTAAATAAGACGATAAATTTTCCTAAAAATGATGATATAAGATAATTTTAAATTTATCAAATATCGAGCCACTTTTGCACTACCCTGTACAGAAACCTATATATGTCAAAAACCAGGATCAAAGGATTTTTTTGATTGTGTTCATCGTGTTTCAGATCGTACCAAAGAAAAAATGGGAAAGTTCAGCCCATACTAAGTGAAGACTGGGTTTGAGTGTGAAAGAAGACTGTGAGCAAGTGGTGTCTTTGGCCCGTCATTTAACTGCGTACCAAAATCCGAGATCTTCTCCCTCTCTTTCTTCTTTGGCCCCCCATTAACATCCTCCTAGCTACTTGAAGTTAGTTCTCCTAAATTTCCTCCCATCGATATCAATCCCGAGGGAATTCCACTTAGCCAACTGCTGTCCAGATTTCCTGGATATATCAAAATTGTTGTCCTGAAAATTTCAGCAATGATCTTTGCTGTCCTAGCTCTCCGGAAAGAGGTCGTTTGCTATCCAGAAGCACCGGTACATTAAAATTTAATTGTTCCCTCATGTATGGAGGATCCAGAACTTGATCGCGGATTTGTCTACGATGATCAAGGTGTGTAAACATTAATTAAGCATTATAGTATCTGATGTGCTAATCTGGTCCATATTTTAAAGCTATATTTAGCATTATAAAATCATAATAAATTTGTTATCATTACTATGTTCTTAGAGCTTACCCAATATATACTTTGACGCTACAGACGGTACCTAAAATAAAAATGAGGATTCATAAAATGATATAATTATCAAATACATAAGCTTACCTAGAGGTACAATCTACTGTACTTGGTTGCGGTTTTATTATCGCATGGCAATTGTGCTTAGTCCGTAAAGAGTGTAGAAACTGATAAGCAGGAAAGAACAACTGCTGTAACAGTATCATGTATTTGATGTCAATTACATGTCACAGTTACAAGTATATATATAGTTGGAGAATACAAGACTAATACAATGCTTCAAGATGTGGGATTATTCATATGACTGCTATTACACACTCTCAAGATATGGGATTATTTAATACTTCAAGATGTGGGATTATTCATACAATAATTGTTGTAACGATGCTCTTCATGTAGCCAATATTATTAGTGTCAGCAGTCACGATAAGGATCGAATCCTGATTTGATGTTATAAGAATTGACTTTGTAAATTGAATACTAAATAAAAGGCTTCAAAAGAGGAAACCTTTTCTGTGAAGTACAATGCTTTCTCCTCTGACAAAAGGCGTCTGAAGGGAGCTGGTGCAAACTGAAAATAAGTTAACAGATACCTGAAACAAGCAAAATTTACATCACTTGGAAAATCTACAAATTTTAATCTACTCTTTGATAATATTTGCAAAGAAATAGAGCAACATAACTATTAACTGATACGTATCCACCTTTCACAAAAATATAATTTATCATTCAAATAATAATTATAGCCAGCATAAATTTCAGAAGAACTCACCCCAACCAAAGAATCTATATACATCGATTATGAGAACAAGGGGAGTCAACATGCAAATCCGCTCTCAAAATTAACCTCTCGGCTACCCTCTTCATATGATTGTTGGTTTGATAAATTTTAAAAATCATTTCACGGTTATAGTGGTTTTATTAATATGCTATTCATAGATCTAGCAATTGTTGCACTTGTGTTAAGATTGAAAACTAGCAATTATTGCACTTACATTAAGATTAAAATCTCGCTATTATGCACTAATATAAAAATAGAAATCGATGTGGTTGAGGCTTTTCTACACTTCACTTTAATTATTTACTAGGAATTTTTCAATTTCATGTAAAGCAGCTAGAAAATAACTTTCGTGAACACAATTTTGAAGATTGGCTCTCATTGATCATGCAAAATTATTATAAACTAAGAGAACTAACTAGTTTGTTTCTAGATTATACAACTAATGCACATCCCCAAAATAGAGGGTCTAGCAAAGCAACTTGGACTTACCCATCATTATTGAGAAAGGTGGTAACTAATTAGGTTTCCCAACAACCCTTTTCATATGATTGTTGACTAAATAAGTTAAATATTAATAATAATAATAATGATTGCAGTGATTTTATGCATATTAATAAATCAATATGTTATTCATAGTTCTAGCAATTATTGTTAAACCTCATGAGTGTTAACAGTTGAGTCTACAGGCCTCTATCATCACCTTTGCACTATACACCTTTAGTTATATGGCTTTCACATTGCAAATTGCTTGTTCTTGATTGACCTTTCAAGGTTGTAAAAAGAGATTCCTATTTATGGTGTGTTCCTTTCCTACTATATTGTACTTTCAGATCGAAACTAGAATCAAAAAGTGATTAATACTAAAGAATTTGTTATGAGTCATGATATTTGCTCTAGTTTGATTCCATAGGTTATTCTATTTTAGTTAATAGTTCTTTGGAGTATAGATTATCTACTTTATCTTTACTCAAAGTATAAAGTTGAATAACTTGTGTAAACTTAATAGGGTGGTTCTTGTAGAATTTGCTAAATACTTAATAAATATTTTTTATTTTGTACATTATTTAATTTTCAGTCAACCTTATATTTGCAAAAGAACATCCTATGGGCGTGCAATGTCTGGTTTTTTGTTTTTTGTTTTTTTTTCTTCTTCTTTTTTTTTTTATAAAACCCACTAAGGGGCCTACGTGTTAATTGAAAAAGGGGGATTACAAGTCCTTAAATGGATCATTAGCTCTTTAAAAATAAAACATTTGAAATAAAACCTAAGAGCCAATAATCCAAACTATTACAACAAAAACACAGTAAACAAACCATCAGGAATCCAAGCAGAACCTCAAAATGATAACAGGAGCGTAGGGACAACAACAACAGCACCATCCGGCAAAAATACCAATAGCAACAAGTCCTCAATCCACCTGCACAAGATGAAGAAAACAGGAAAAAAGAGGACAAACAAAGGTAGGTGACAGTTCCCCCCCCCCCCCCCCCCATTGGCCCCCCCCCCCCCACGCAAAGGGAAAATTATTGCATCCGATCACCGGATGCGGAGATAGGTCCGGATATTAATAAAATATTATTTTAAATTAAGCGCAGGTAAAGCGCAACTAAAGCGCAGGTAAAGCGCAAGTAAAGTGCAAGTAAAGCGCAGGTAAAGCGCAAGTAAAGCGCAGGTAAAGTGTAGGTAAAACGCAACTGAAGCACAAGTCAAAAGCACGGTCAAAAGCGCAGGTGACGCGGTAAATTTTTATTGGATGTCCGAACTTATTTTCCGCGTCTGGTGACCGAATGCAATAATTTACCCACGCAAAGAACCACACCAACCAAACTCGACAAAAGCAACAATCCAACCATGCCCGAACGACCAAACCGAGAGCACCCAAGCCATAACATTACAATAAAAGCACTTGAACCTCACCCAGAACAAAAGGAATATAACAAGCCAAAACATACCACCACCCAAAAACCACAACCATCCCCTCAAACCACAACAGCAAAGCTACAAAAAGAGCAACATAACCAACCACAATAAGAAAGAAACAAAAGGAGTCAAGCACAAAAAAAAAGACTAATTTCTTTTTAGCTTTTCTCCATCTTCGCTTAGCAACATTTTGGAAGGAACTCTTATCAGCAATATGAATAACGTTTAGACCATATTTTCCCATATAATCATTGTCATGGCCATCAAAATCTTCCTCATCCTCCAAATTCTCCAACAAGTCACAATCAGCCAACCACTCGCCTTGAAACATATCTTTATCCACTGCATTTAAGGCCAAATGCGTTGGAAATTGGGACATCAATAAGAGGCTCATTAATATCCTCAGAGGCCGAAGGCACAATATCTGATTCAGAGGATTGAACACCCAAAATTTTCTGATTAATTTTGCAATCCTAAGAGCAACCCATATTCAAAGTATCGCCATTATAAAGCACCATAGCATTTGAACCAATACCATCTTCCACATTTTTATGAACACCATCGCACACATCTACAATATCAACCTGAATAGCATCACCGGCATTAGGAAATGGCACAGTCAAAGCATCATTCGCAATATTACCATCACTAGAAACACCACCATAGACATTTGAGTTGATCCCCTGCACCTTAGTTCCTTTATTACCATCACAATTACTAACATCTAAATTTGAAGCAACAACATAAGAATGAAGCATAACATAGGAGTATCAATAGCCTCATGACCAACATTTAAACCACCATCAGGCATCCCATAGGAACTACTTCCTGAGAAATTGCCAATTTTGTAGTTTCAATAGCATGAACCATAATAAGAGAATCAATGTTGGGGCCATTACCAACATGAATTTTCCCATTCATACCATCCTGAATAGAACCCGAAACAGCAGCTGACATATTAGGTTGTTGTGAATTAACGATCTTATTGCCCACTAACTTATCAACTAAATGAGGTTGCGATTTGTGACATTCCCCACGTGAATGCCCTAATGCTTTACACTGATCACAAAAAAAGGAAAAGACTTTCATCTCAATAGATTGAATGTGTCCAAATTTATTGGGACCAACCCAAATACGATTAAGGTAATGTTTCAAGATATCAAGCTCGACCGACACGTGAGCAACAGAAGGCCTTGATCCAACAGCAGTGGCATTGTTAATTTTTAAAGGTTTACCGAACAAGAAACCCAATCCGAGAAGAATTCGGGGGGAGAACAAGTGAGGGCATAAATCAGGGAAGGAAACCCATATAGGGATAATAGGGGAATCCACGTCAACGTAAAAAAGGCGACCATTTGGTAAGTTTCATGTAGCAATTATTCACAAAATATGATCGATGGGAAAAAACACGACTGTAATCGAGGTCATTCTCAAGTTTAATCAAAACATGTTTGTAACTCAAAAGGGTAATAGAAAAAACCCCCATTAAGTTTAAGGTTGAAGAAGAACTTTCTAATCGAATCAAGAACAGGCTAGGATCAGGGAATTTACAAACTAAAGCAAATTCAAAAAAGTGTCGCAAGAGCTAAAATCTAATCTCCGAAAATCCACAGAGAGGGCAAACCATGATGAGTCACTTTTTTTAGGTCTGGAAACCATTTGAAGAAGATGATCTGGACAAAACATCCAAAAAAGAGTGAGAATGCAACTTCGTGTTAAGGAAACCTGGATCGTTCAACCGTGATATCGCTATTCGGTCGACAAGAAAACCGAGGTGGAAATCACGGCGAAGAACCAAAGAAACCAGAAGAAAGAAACAAGAATAACAAGATAAGGGAAGGTATCATCTGAAAAGTGGAGCGGCAAGAGCATTGTCGGCCGTCCAAAGGGGACGGCTACCCAAACCCTAACAGGGTGAAAAAGAGGATAGGTCTGATTTTTTGTTAATAAACTAGGTGCTCTTTGTTGAGTTCAATGTAATTATAGACCTTTGCAAATAATTTATGAGAAAACAATGTCAACATAGAACCTTCATTCTATCAAAAGATTGTGCTCCAACTATGTTTTGGACTTATAATAGAGAAGTATCAACCATTGGAAACCATGAACTTAGAAATGATTGCAATTTGAGTTCAAAAGCTCTTGAGCTGAACATTTTCATTTCATATATGACATACCACCAGACAAAGCTCAAGTATGCTTGTAAATATATACATTTCATACTAAAAACTCATAAATAACACATAAATATATGAAATTAATTAATATTATTGTTGGTGGAATTTTGAAAACAGGTTTTGAAAAGCTTAGTTCTCTTTGGAAATTTTGAAATCGACTTTGAATTTGAATATTGAGACCAAACATCACATTAGGAGAGTCATACCACTTCGTGAAGTGGAAATAAACCTCCAAAATGGGGTTTAAATCTAAGATTACAAATCCTACTTTGAATATCATGATTAGATTCTAGAGAGAACCATATATGACCTCTA